CTCTCTCTCTCTCTTTCTCTCATGATTTCGACATGGAAAACGAAGGTCTCTAGCGGCCGGAAAGCAGGCGTGAGCTTTAATGCATTTTTTCAATTCTCACGAGGGAACCGCTGCCAAGCGATTACGCCCAAGGCGGAACATTACTTTCTACGTACAGCATGACGCTCGCCATGATGCCTCAAAATTGCATTTTCATTCGACGATTTCTATAATACCAATTTGCCATTTCAATCGATCTTTATCGTCCCTCAAAATGCAGTCATCTCCATTCTCCCGAATATCGTCGGACATTTTGAGATTATAACATCCACGGACGAATCGAATTCCTATCTACGAGCTGTGTAACACGTACAGGAACTTTTCTGTCGCGAGATACCATCGAACATCTGGCGATCTGTTAATGTTGAGGCTGCCTAGACCAACATGACGGCCAGTTTCAGGCACGGCTTACGAAGTAAAGCAAATAAACAAGAATTAAATCTGGAAGGCTTTACCGCAGAGAAAAAGATTCGGATATTTCTATGCAGATCCAGTGTTACAAATGAGACCGAAAAAAATGTATAAAGATACAATAAGGGGAAAAATAAAAGCGGTTAAGTGCAATGCATTTAGATCCATCGGATGGGCTGCATTAAGAGAATTTTCGTTTTTCCTTTTTCTCTCTTCACACAGACAGAGAGAGAGAGAGAGAGAGAGATAATTTTCAATGGTACCTAATGACGCAATCGTTATTTTACATGAAGTCCGCTTAATAACGATGCTGATAAATACGGCGGTGAGGTCTGCGGTATCGCGTACGAATGTCGAAGCGGCGAACGTAGTACGCACCATTAAATTTAGCGTTCAAGGAAGGTACGCGGAGATCTGAATCATCGGACGTATGTATAGCAACAAGTTTGACACGCCACGTCAAACCACGCTGGAAGTATTACGGAAACGGCCGGAAGCGGGGGGCGCCCGAATACTTTCTGTCGCTTTCCGTTCCTCGCGTGCGCGTGAACGGGCGCGTGCGCACGTGCAACGATCGGCTTCCGCAGCGAGCGCGAGCTAAGTATAGACGATGTTGGCCAGCGGCATTGTTATTGCTTGCGCAGCAGCGCTGCTCGGCTTTCGGGATCTGGTGTTTATGAAGGGTCCGTCGAGCTCGGTCGAGTTATGGCCTCAGGTGTATTCGGATGTATTACGACTTCGACCGGGTCTCTCCGATCAGCAAACGAGCGGACGCGTCGTAAATGTATTCACCGACGTCGAATGTTTAGTCGCGTTTACAGGAGACGTTCCAATGAATGAAATCGACGTCTCGGAGGAAGCTCCGCTATCCAGCTCTGGAGCCGGCTCGTAAAACCGTCCTGGTGAATATAAGCGCTAGATTAAGATTTGCATAACCGTCGCGTTCTCGGCCCAAGTGTTTTAATGTGATCGGGGCTGACGCGACTTATGCATACATAGA